AGGCTCGCGATGAGCGGGCGGTCTGGGACCGCCAGGACCGCCGGTCCTGCCCAAAAAAGGAGACTCCCGAGGACGCGGCTATAAGGACGCTATAAGGACGCTATAAGGACGCTATAAGGCGCGGCTACCGCCCGAGACCGCCCGAGGACCGGCCCAGGACCGCGGTTATGGCTCTATAAGGACCGTCCTAGCCCCCTACTTGGAGCTAAGCTAGGCAAGTCACCTTGGTCAATTTCCCCGTCGAAATTCATCTTCCGTCACTCCCCTGACAAAGTCAAACCCGAAGAACTCGCCCCTGGACCGGTAAAAGCTTCTCAGTAAACCCCAACGGGCCGCACGCCCTGGCCGCGCCGTGGCGCCTCGGCAATGTACCCTAAAATCACCCTGCCGGCTATAGCCGCGGGGCGCCTCTCTGGGTCCGTTTGGGTCCGTGGGCGACCCGTCGAGGCCGGGCGCACGTCGCCGAGCGCTGTCACGCGCCGCGCAAGTGCGCCATTGTCCTGGCCAAGGCACCCTCGACCCGGCCCGCTAACCCCGCCGAGATCGGTTTAATTGCCAACATCCTGCTCCTTCTCCGCACTTTGGCCCAACTGTGCACCCTGCTGTGGTGTCGAGCCCCCCACCGAGGCTTCTCTGCAAGGCTCTTCCAGATAGGCCTAGCGCAGTAGTTGTCCCGGGGCCGACTACGGACGAAGAACTGCGAATTGCGCAGAAAGCTTCGTATCGGTCGCGGGGTCTGGTCGCAGGGTCTGGTATGGTCTTCAAAATATCAGATTTGTCGGAGTAAACTGGCAACCACGGAGGACTTCAAAAGGTGCAAACAGAGACCGGGCTTTGATTTTCGGTCCAGGTGCACTCACACCTGAATCCGGGGCGCAATACACATGGCCATCAGTTCCTACGATAAAACTCCTGTGTTGAAATAGTAAAATTTGAGCACCTGAAAAAGAAGCTTGCACGCATATGGAATATGCACGCGCACAATGCTTGAATTGGCATGTTGACAGTCTTTATTATTACACCAGAAAGCACGCTTGCGCAGATCTGCGTGCGCGATGAGCCCACACAGTGTACAAACGTGTATAGAATAGGGATCCGAGTTTGCAAACATGCGATCGCGCAAGAAACTAGAGACACCATGGGAAATGAGGCAGTCGCGTTCCATCTCACCCATGCGCAGACCTCCGTCTCGTGCCCGGCCTTCCATGGGCTGACGTGTGAGCATTGTGACAGGACCACGCGAACGGGCATGTATTTTATCGTCAACAAGATGTTTCAAGCGCTGGTAGAACGTCGGGCCGAGAAATACCTTCGCGTGAATAATTCGTCCTGTGTGGCCCGAGTACATGACTTCATTTCCATGCCGGTGGTAGCCTAACTCGTGCAAGACCCCGGCTATCTGATCGACGGAAACGTCAGTGAATGGTGTGGCGTCACCTTCCTTGCCTGTAAGCGCGCCTACTTTGGACTGCAAACACTCGACCAAGTGGCCGATGGTCATGCGTGAGGGGATTGCATGAGGATTGACAATGATGTCGGGTGATACACCATCACGAGTCCAAGGCATATCCTCCTGCGCATAAGTCATTCCTATAGTGCCTTTTTGCCCATGCCTTGAGGCAAATTTGTCGCCAATCTGAGGAATTCGAATTGTTCGCGTTCGCACTTTGGTGAATTTCATTCCATCTTGATTTGTTGAAAGCATGACCTTCGAATAGTCATGTAATTTTAGTTGCATGATATAAGCACACCTGATCGACCAGGCCAGATTCATTGGGGCGCATTGTGGTCGATGAATCACGCTTGGAGGGACCACTCCGTTCAGCTTTCAGTCCGGAATGCCATGAGGGCGAAGTTTTACCCACAAGGATATCTGATCCAGACACGCGAACTCCGGGGGAGACGAGACCATCACTATCAATTTTTTCATATGAACCATGGCGCATTGCAGTGCATTCGTCCCTATTTGGTCGCTCGAAAGTCTCTTGAAGATATTCAGGAGAGTCCCAAATTCCTTTGTTGTGTTCCTTGTCAGAGTAAGTCCGATAAAAAGTGGAGCGAAAAAGGCCGCGGTCGATCGCCGCCTGGTTCATGATTAGCGAGTCTTCCTGCGCAATTGCGGTTGGGAAGTGAGGAAGCATGCATGTAAGAATACAAAGTTTCTGACCTGATTATATCCTGTATAACACATGATAGCGACGATGGCATTCACGCCACTTGGAAGTTCCCGGAAGTGGAGATGCTCCATTGCTCGAGTAGTTGCAAGCGGCTTCTGTGGGTAGTGTAGAACGTGTGAGAGAGTGTCCATGCGCTGCTGGAAATTTGACGCATAAATACCCATCGCCTGTTTGCCCATCGCAGACTGATACGTGTTTCGCGGGGACTGATTATGATCTGGGAAAGGAATGATCGAACCACATATACCCAAGATCATTGATGGATGTATTTCACAGTGAGTATATGTCGAAGAGTAAGGCTCATTTAAATCAGATGGGATCATGGCAATCATAGCAGTTTCTTCTTCCTCAGTATCAATCAATTCAACAAGACCCTTCACGAGAAGCTGTGTCCAACCGAGATCGCCGTTTACAAGCTTCTGGACGTGCGACTTACGCAATCTTAACTCTTGGAAAGTAGCCTCTTGTGAACGCACACGCGTGACCGTACTTGCCGCTTCCACTATCAAGAGCGGGCGACACACCCGCCCCGCATCCGTGTAGACACGAAGCTCTTTTTCTTTGATATCCCTAACAACTGAAACCTCAGGATCAATATCGATTTGCCTTCGAAGGGATCTCAAGGTCGACTCTAAGGTTGATGGGTCACGATGAACACCGACCCAGCTCCCATTTACGAAAATTTTCGTTGTACCTGGATCAGCAATAGTTTGCGGCGAAATCTCCTCGAGATTCTCCATTGACCACTCCTCGAGAAATTCGAGAATCGGGCTTTGGGGGCTGCCAACAGAGACGTAAGACATCAAAGCCAAATTTTTAACAAGACCGACAGCCTGACCTTCTGGAGTTTCGGCAGGACAAATGAACCCCCAATGAGTATTATGGAGCTGTCGCGGCTTAGCTTGTTTGCCTTCTCGTCCCAGCGGAGTGTTTAGGCGCCTCAAATGGGAGAGAGTTGATGCATACGTTAGTCTGTTTAGCACTTGTGACACACCAGCACGTGAAGCATCTTTCCTATCACCCCAATTGCCGGTGGCCAGAGAGTATCTGAGCCCATCGGTGACAACACGTGACTTGATCGCAGACCTGTGCCAAAAGCACTAATTCCACGACCACATTTAAAGACGCACGCGAGATTAAAATCACGACCGTCGTCGATACATTTCTGTAGATATGCGAGAACATCCTTGGTGAGCTTCCGAAATAACATTCGAAATAGGCCACCGAGCAGTGGTCCAGCCAGATCAAGACGTTTCTTGCCATAATGATCCCGATCATCTTCGTCAATGCGTTCAAGTGAGCACATCAGCAGTTTGTGAACTATATAGCCAACGAAAAAGGCCTTCTTTGTGTCTGATTGTTCTTCCGTGCCAACGTGCGGTAGAACCTCTTTTTGCAGCAACTCTTTTGCATACTGAACACGCTTTGAACGTCCAATGTTTGTGGCACTTCCACGACGTCCGATGAAATCAAGAGCAATAGTTTGATTTTGAATTACAAAGGCCTCGTCCAAAGATGGTCGTAGTCGTTCCATCATTTCAGTGTCAGAAAAGTCGTAGACTACATGTTCGAGAATATCACGGTCTGCTACAAAACCTATATCACATGCTGCAAGGAGAAGGGTACAACTCTGATGGATGGAAACGACTTACCCAAGGCACGGAAAACAACAATCACCGGCACATCCACCCGAACGTAGGGCAAAGTCACGCGAATCTGGTTTCCCTGTGACTGACCGCGACCTGCCTTATTGTACATTTGCATGTAGATGGTGCTCGTCGGACGAGCGCCGTGTTCCACGTGGGATCGGCACTCGACAACCCAGGAGTACCTGCAAGACCATCAGTGTTTCAGATCAAGATCCTAGAATTTTGTGGATGTAACTGACTTGTGCGGTTGCTTCTTCCGAAAGCAGTACACATGGTTATTAGACATGCGTTCTTGTGCAACAACAACTTTCTCCGAACCATTGATTACAAAATATCCTCCTTGATCGTATATGCACTCACCAAGCTCACAGAGCTCTTTGTCTGATTTATCGGCTAGCACACAAAATCGGCTACGTAACATAATTGGGACATAACCAAGAAACTCCTTCGGCGAGTCAATTCTATGCGTACTGGAACCCCCGTTGATAAGTCGCACCCTTGCTGACACATCGACATGATGCTCTTCGACGACTTGTATCTGATCGTCACCGCTGTGGATCGGTCCAACAACTTCATAGGTGACGGTGGCATATCCATCACTTAGCTTAGTAATCACGCATGGATACCAATCACCATGAATCTCAAGCTCAGCAGCACAACCTTGGCGTAACGGAGATGCTTGTTTTTGCTCGACACAGCTTATGTCAACATACATCGGCGACGCATAAGTCATATTGCGTAGGCGGGCTTCGTGTGGAAACATGTTACTTGTCGTACCATCTTTTTCGGTGGCAGTTGGCTTTGAAACATAGACTTGGTTGAACAGAACAAAATATGTGCTTGGTGTGGCAGCTAGTTGGCCTGGTGCGTACTGCGCTTCCGGCTTGACGACCAGCTCACCGCTGTCGTCCACGAGTTCTTGCATCGTATTTTGAATGAACTCATCGAAAGAGTCTAGTTGTTGCCTAACAAGCCCCTTTTCCGCGAAATACGCACTGATAACGGTCCATGCGTCCTGCATTATAGAAAAATATTACGAATTCATTCATGTAATTGCTTACCTCTTGAGTGATCTCCATCCTGGCGATTGATCTTTTGACCTCCCAGGAGGCCGGCAGTGAACCCGCTCTGGCCGGCAGTGAATGGCCGGCAGTGAACCGGGAGCTCAGCCGGATCCCGCATGAGGGGGTCGGATAATACAACTTGACTTTTGTTTGACCCACCCCTCAGAAACCGACGCGTCTTACCGGTAAGATTTTGCTTACTTTCAACAGGAACCGCTTCCGACGGCGGGCGCCGTACGCTCGCCGCGGCCGGTGAATTTAATTGGACGACCCCGTCTCGTAGCAAAGCAAAGCGCTTCGGGTTGTTCTGAAGTTGTTCTGAAGTAGTAATCGAAAACCTCATCGAAATCGTCCAAAACTGCATCGTTTCGACCGACGGATTACGCTGCGATGATGTGATGCGCCGGCGCCGCGCCGTTTTGCGCTAGGTGGTGCACGAAAAGCGCGCATGCTGCGCCGGACAGCGACGACGGGGTTCGGGAGCGCAAAAATTCCTGCTGGCGGCCTTCTGCGGCGAGACTGGAGTCGCTGCCCTTCTCGTCGCGCTTGCGCTTCTTCCAGACCGCCGCGCGGAGCTGGTTCGTCTCCGCCTGCAAGACAGCCTCTGGTTCCGAACCAGTGACCAAGATAGCGCGGCCCATAACCCGGAGAGGCATGATATGGTCATATGGAAGCTAGCACCAGGGAGGGGCTGCCCGGCCCCTGATATAGGGCTTGGACCCCCTCTGGCAGAGCCAATAACTCAAAAACTTCAACAGCACCATAAAAGCTCATTCTAAAACTGCAGCCACATATCCTAACTAGGTGTATTATTTCTGCATTTTAGCTTTCGTTGTGAATAACGCTGTTTGGCCATGGCGACAATTGCGATGCAGAAACGGATGAACTTGGAGATGAATTCTTTGCAAGTCAAATCGGACTGGCATACTAGACAGGTATCCCCTCACCCCGTCTTTGACTTTCGTTCTCCCCTCCGTTCCGACGATATTTGATAACCCGTAGATGATTATGGAGCGGAAGAGGTTGGATGACCTCGACGAGGCGCTCAAACAAGCAGACGAGCAGATCAAAACGTTTCGCATGTCCACCAAGAAAACCGCGGTCGATTTGTTGAATCAGCATCGCTTTACAGCACAGCCGGCTAAAGCTCGAACAGATGGCATCGACCCCTCAAAGCTAGCGGAAACTTCTCGGAAGAAGCTGATATCGTCCTTTGAACATCGGCTCAACAATATGCGAATCCGGCTTTCTCAGACGGAGAATCATAACGAGAAGCTCAAGTCCCAGATTGATTCTTTGCGGAGGCACAGAATGACCTCGAATAAGTCTCGTGAGAAAATAGAAAAATCTATAAAAGAGATAAAACGCCTTGTAGAGGGTGTGCTCGAACGCAGTCGTGGTGTTTCAGAGGCGCGGGAGAATGTAATCGAACAACTACATGAGTTGCATCGACAACAAAACGAGGATAGAGATAGATTTTCTGAGCAGATGAAAGCATTAGCTGAATTCATCGACAAGCAGAATCGGGAGTTCGAAGAATCCATGGCAGCAGCCGCCGTTTCAACAACACGGGGGGGGGCGGACGAGGAGCCCTTGACGCGTGGACTCATGACTATTGAAGAGGAAAAAATGAAAACAGAGCTTGTCGAGGAGCTAACCAAGCAGATAGAAAACGAAAAAATTTCAATGCAACATACAGAGGCGAAGATCGCCCTGTACCGGACTTCTTTTGACGAACTCAAGCGAGTAAGTGGAATTGATGATTTGAAAGAGATTGTTCACAAGTATGTCAAGTCAGAAGAGGAAACCTTCTCCCTTTTCAATTATGTTCAAGCCCAAAACCAAGAGACCGATTGGACTCTCGAGCGTCATACGCGCCTTGAGGAAGAGATTAAGTCATATGAGGAGAAATTAAGTGATGAAGAGGCCCAGCGCGCTGAGGCCATGGCTGATCTCCAAGGCAAATGGCGAAACGCGAAGGAAGCTACAGACGAGTGCAGTCACGCGGCCCAAGAAGCACAGCGCACACTGGAGCGTATCGCCAAAAAGGTCCAATCTCTATTCTTCAAAATCCAATGTGATCAGCTGACAACAGGAGCTCGCGAGACTAAGGGCACTAAAGGAGCTGCTCAGAAAGCCAATATTGGTCGTCCTGACAGTCGCCTTGCATTGCTATCTGGCCAGGGTGTTACCGAGTCGAATATTCTCGCGTATGCCGAGCTCATCGAGCAACGCGCTCTTGAGATCATGTCAGACTACACACGTCGTATGAACCACCAAGAGCAACGTCACATGACGCCTGTACTTGATCCGAGTCGCAGCATTAGTATTGTTAATCAACAGGACCAGATAAAAGCCCCTGACATCGATGCCGATGATGAGGAAGATAATGAAGACGACGGTCGCCCAATTGCCCTCGAAGAGATGCGTCGTCGAACTGCAGAGAGGATATCAAAAAAGCACCAGGCTATGCGCCTTGGCGTGAAACGACGAGACCACCAGGCTCAGAACAAAGGCTCGTCTACTGCAAGAGCCACCAAGCAAAATTAATGAAGTACCTAACCTTTACTGTGTGATAGATACAGCTAATCGGGATGTCCGACCTCAATACAAGGAGGCGACCTTAATAAACACAACAATTAGGCCCCGTATTAAAAAGGCATGTCGCTCTTTGGATGCCCTGGCAGGTACATATCCCGCTGACGCAACATATCAAATGCCGCTTTAAGTTTGGTTTTGGACCTCAAATCCTGCACTCCACCCTTGACCTCAAACGCGGCGCTTGACCTTCACGAGGTACCTCAAACACACTATCCAGGCCTTCGAAAGTACCTCAAGCACGCCACTCACGCCTCAAACTACACTTCATGGATAAGGCCCTGCAGCCGCCCCAGCCCGAAATACCTTGCGACGTTCGTATAAAGGGAGCTGAGTGTAAGGCAAGCTCCGGGGTCTTTTGAGGGTCCTTTTTGGATTTACCTACGCCAGACTGTGGGCGTTCAAGTGGGAGCAACTCGAAAATAGCCAAGTCATGATAGCACTGACTGCTAGTCTCGTTTGAGCGACCATGGGCTACTAGGGCCCGGGCACTTGCCCGGGCAGGCGACATCCGAGTAAACTAGCCAGCACTAGGGGTCCAATTTGAGATCCTTTTTCCCTTGGACCTGCAGCTGGGGCTTACTAGCCCGATCTCTTAGCCACCTCTCTAGCTCGCACGACGACTCGGACTCCGAGCCCTAAACTGGAATCCCGCTGGATCCGCTGGCCCCGCCGGCCGCCCGTCGCGCGCCCACTGTGCCC